TCTCGTACGAGGTGGAGTTGGGGGAGAGGAGCGTTAGCCGTGCTGAGAACCCACCAACTTGCTGCACGGGGAGTGGCAAAGAGCCTCTGGACCTCAACCACGACGTGCAGTTCCGTTGTAGCAGAGCTTGGTCTCCTTAATCTCAGGAAAGGCCACGTTGTCTGCCGTGCCCGGAGTCCTCGCAGGAGGCTCAGCGGCGCGGTGAGTACGTCAAGCCATTGCGCTTCTCACGTGTGCGGAGGTGCGAGCGTTCCCGTGCGTGCGCGTGGCTGTGCTCAGCAGGAGCGTATCGCGGGCTGATCAGATCCATGGGAAGTGAGAACAGTTCTGTGCTCTGGCCTCTCACGGTGGTGACAGCTCTTGGTCTCCTTCCAACGCGGTGTCTTCTGAGAACGGCAGAAGAACGATGAGACTCTCCCCTCCCCAGCACGCAGACGCCGGCGCTGACTCTCCCCGGTGTTCTCACCGCCCTGTCTGGTCACACTTCCAGGGGTGACAAGCCGTTGGCACACCAAGAAGCTCCCCAGGAAGACGCACAAAGGCTTGCGCAAAGTGGCCTGCATCGGAGCCTGGCACCCGGCCCGCGTTGGCTACTCCATTGCTCGGGCTGGCCAGAAGGGCTACCACCACCGCACGGAGCTCAACAAGAAGGTACGGCCCAGGCGGGGCTCCTCAGAGCACCACTGCGCCTCCCTGCCTTCCTTCCCCCCCGCGCTGTCACCATCCTTCTGTGGCACGGTGGCCTCCGCTCCCCGCCGGTTTCTCAGCTGTTTCCCCAGAGACCTGCAGGGCTGTTGTTCTCCGTGTCTTCCCCTGTTGTTCCCTGTTCCTTGCTCAAGGGACGCACCGCAGGGAGCTCACCTTGGGGAAAACCGTGCCGTCCTTGAGACAGCCCTCAGGGAGGGGGCGGGAAGGTCGCCATCTCTTGTTTCCTTTCCTAGATTTACCGCATTGGCCGTGGGATCCACGTGGAGGATGGCAAAGTGGTGAAGAACAACGCCTCGACACACTACGATGTCACGGAGAAGACCATTACGCCTCTGGTAAGGGCCGAGCGGGGAACAGGGCTGTGAGTGTCCCTCGCTGCAGGAATCCCAGCCAGGGAAGTAGTTCCTTGGCTGGAGAGAGCTGCAGAGGAAAGGATTTGAAGGAAAATTCACTGAAAGGAGTGCAGTGATTCTTTTCCTTGTGTTTTGGACGTGGAAAACCATCTCTGTGAGGTGTGGTTTTAGGTCCGTTGCTAGACCCAAACATTTAACTTTCAGCTGATAACTTGGGCGGGAACTGGGAACTTTGTTTAAAAAGAAAAATAAGTTTAAATGACATTAAAAATCTGACACTTAACAGATAAATGTTTGCTACTCCATTTAAAAATTCACTTTTGCTTGTTAAAAACTGTTAACTCGGAAGTCCATCCAGCTCTGCTCTCTGTTCACCCACACCCTCCAGGGAAGGAAGCAGGGTTACTGGTTCCCCAGCTCTTCCGGGTTGCACCTTAGCTGGGATCATGCCGTCAGCGTGGCTGACACGCTCTGGTGGTC